ATTCTGCATTTTTTCGTCCTTAATCATAATTCTGATGTGATGTGGCCTTTTTTCTAGACAACATGTGAAGGGCTTCTGTTCAAGTCAGAAAAAAAGCAGTTTGATATATCCGTCTCCTCCTCGCACCCGATACGCATTTCGTAACCAAACTTGGTCTGATGCAAAGCTATATTGAATCGATGGACATGGACAGATGGTGATTCATGCAGGTGAACACTAACGCTAGGAAGTGTAGCTGGTCACTCCATACATCCCGAAAGTTTGCTCACATCGGAAAAAGGTAAAAAGGCATTGCCGCCCGCCGAGCCATCTTGCGTTGGACTATATGACCCAACCTTAACGTCGACGGCCTGACCTGGCCGCCGTTCAAAACCTATTCCGCTAAAAAATTGATGGCGGGGAGAAGACCTCTCCCTAGCGCGTGTTAATATTTGGCAACTGGGCGAAGAAAACTGTACAGCTAATGGGTTGAGGGCCCTGCATTATGAATGATCTAGCACACGGCTGGCGTGGTATGGCCGTGGCATGGCTATATCTAGTAAGTTATACTAAAAAATATATTTTCAGGCGCCTGAAACTGTGCAAAGCTTGACGCCGTATCGAGTATGGGCGTGATGGAATCTTCTCAACCTTCAAGAAGCGACAAAAGGCTATGTCTCTCAATGACAAGTGGAAAAGGAGACCTGGCACCCTCCACATCCGCCTTTCACCACTTGTAGCGCCGGTCCGGAGGGTCTGTGAGATCTCTCCTATGCGTTGCATCCCAGCCTTTGTTCCCGATCCCAGCGTGACGGTGACGCAGATTATTACAATTCCTTTACTTGGTATAGATGATCTGTGGACCGTTTTTTCACACCTTGCCAGGGTATCAGGGAGATAAGGCCTGGATGGGTTGGATAATACCAGGCTGAATCCATGCCGATCTTGGTAGCATCCGATCTCAAGCAACAAATGTGATACATTGTCCTCGCAGTTCTCAACCTCTAGTGGTTTTTCCAGAACTGCTATAAACAGCTTGATCCTCTTGTGCTAAAAAAGCAAGGCCTTTGGTAATCACAGGACCATGAAAATTGCAGGGAAAACGGAGCCACGATGGGCATGATGCCTGAGCAGCGAGTCGATGGTTCTTCATGAAATTCCGCATTCACTGTTTTTACTTCCGCACACACGGTATCCACAGGAAGTGACGATTTGTGCCAATCAGCTGGCTTTTCCGCCCACTTTCAGACTTGAGGTGAATTTTTGATGATTCTACATGTTCTTTCTACACTGCACAGTGAGGTATGCTGGGCAGCTTGCCCTTTGCATCAGACTTTGCAGGGCTATTCAGAAACGGTTCTTGCAGATATCACATGCTATGTATTTCACATTGCAACCAATCACGCTCTGTCATTGGTTTCTACGGAAAGCCACCGTTTCGATCTTCAACATCCATTTCCAAACCTCAGGGCGCGACACTCTAGCTCGGTGTCACGGATCTGGGAGAGCGGTAGGCGCCCGAGGCTGCTCCAACTGAGACGGGTCAGCGGCCGCAGGGTCGCCGCGTGCGGGGAGGGACGTGACCAACAGGGAGTGGTCGTGAGAGCCCAGCTGATGGTCCATCGCTAAACGGTCGCATGCGGAGGGATCGGGCCGTGACCTCAGGCCATCAGCGACTTGGAGCTGGCGCTTAAAAGCGAAGGCATTGTAGGAGAAGGTATCAGTTGCACTGCATTCTCCGCCATCAAAGCTTGTAGCATGAAGGTGCGAAGTAGTGGTTCAACTAGAAGTACGATATTGGTCGCTATGGTTGTCATCTCATCTGTATTTCTATGCATACAAAGTGAATGAGATGTCAAATTCAGGCTATGAATCATAAGTACAGGAGCTATATAGCTACGCGGAACTTCTCAAAAACACTTAAAGACACGATATCAGTTCCGATCAGGAATGAATTTCAGTGGGTATAACGTACTACATTTCCACCTTTAGGTCTTCGTCGCCGTCGCCGCCCTGGCCGCCGCCGTCGCCGCTGCCCCGGCTCCCGATGCCCCGTCATACCACCCAGAGTACCAGTACAAGGAGGAGGCCAAGCCGTTCATTTACGACTACGCCGTCAGCGACCACTACACCGGCACCAACTTCGTCAAGAAAGAGGAGAACGATGGCCACAACACCAAGGGATATTACTCGGTGGCTCTGCCAGACGGCCGCATCCAGCACGTCAAGTACGTCGCCGACAAGTACGGTGGCTTCAACGCTGAGGTCACCTACGAGGGAGAGGCCCAGTTACCCCGAGCATCACCCCGCTCCCGCCTACAAGGCTGCTGCTCCGGCCTACAAGTCTGCTGCCAATGTTTACAATCCCGCGTACAAGGCCGCTTCTCTCGTCCACCAGCCAACCGTCACCACTGCCTATCAGCCCACTTCCTTGTCCTACAAGGCTACCACTCCAGCCTACAAGCGCACTTTTAAGCCTGCTGCCCCAACATACGGGACAGCTGCCCCTGCTTATCAGGCAACTGCACCTGTTTACCAGACCACTGCCCAGGTCCATCAGCCTGACTTGAAGTCTGCTGCCCCTGCGTACAATGCTTTTCCTCTTTCCTACACCCCCGCTGCCCCGGCCTACACATCTGCTGCCCCGGCCTATGCATCTGCTGCCCCGGCCTACACATCTGCTGCCCCGGCATTACATTTGCTGCCTCGGCCTACACATCTGCTGCCCCGGCCTATACATCTGCTGCCCCGGCCTACACATCTGTTGCCCCGGTAGACAAACCAGAGGCCTCTCCGCACATGTCCTCGACCTCTGCCTACAAGTCCTCCCACAAAACGGCTGCCTTGAGGTTTAAACCGGGTGTGACGTATTAGAAGCGACCAAGTTGTGTTGGCGTTTTGAAGCTGTGCGTTGTGATGTGACTTTATGCGATGTATATACAGAGAACGGTCTGTTTAAATAGAGCTTTTCTCGAGGCTGGTCTTTTCTGCTGGCACGCATATGTCAACAAGCAATGCATTCTGGGAAGATAACGCAGCTGTGGTCTGTGGTATGTGATAATGCTGGCTGTGTCGTATTCCAGAAGTCCTGTAGCGCACGTTGTAGGACGTGATCAATATTTGGATGAGCTTGTCCGCAGTGGTAATGCTGGACATTGGAAGACTTTTGAGAGAATCCTTATAACATCGTTGCCCTTGAAAGGGGAGGCAGTGTATGGGCCACACTCGTTAAAATGCATATTCGGACCACCTAGATGGCTTATTGCCGAGCTGATCGAACCTATATCATTTGAAGGGCATGTTCAGCCCGTGCATGATCTCCGATTATCATGTCCACGGCATCGACGGCCATTCGTACAAGGTGTTCCGCGTGGGTGTTGGTGCTCTTCTAATATACTTGGATAGGATTTGAAAATATTAGCAGGTCTTCAGTCGGTCCATTAGCAGGTCATCAGTCAGTCACACTGGCAGGTCACTAGTCAGCCACACTAACAGGTCAGCAGTCAGTCACACTAGCAGGTCATTAGTCAGTCGCACTAGCAGGTCACCATTCAGTCACACTAGCAGGTAGCTAGTCAGGCACGGTGAGGTCATCAGTCAGTTATGCTGTCAGGTTATCAGTGAATCACATTAGCAGGTCATCAGCCCCAGGAATCTGAAGATCCTGAGCTCCCTGCTGTCGCCGCATGATGACGTAGAGGAAAAGTTACTATTTAGACTCGGTAACGCGATACGCTGCATTTCGACGACGATTTTCACGAATACCGGGGCGCAAAAAGTTGTATGTATCCAACGTATAAATGACATGTACGTCAACGTTTTCTGTCACGGTAACCAACGCAAGGTACAGACTAGCAGGATTGAAGCTCTTTACAGACCAGCGCGGGCGGCGTGAGGGCCACATCCGTCGGAAACAAGCAGGCAGTGTTCGGTTTATTTGTCGCGTGCGACCACCATCTCAGCTCAGCTCGGCATCGAGGTTGTCCGCCGGCGCACCATGAGCCGCAGGGGCGATGGCAGTGACGCGTGCCGACAGACCTCCTCGACATCCACCGAACGTCCGAGGCGAGCTGGCGCCGGCGAGGCGCGCCAGAGGCCGCCGGCCCACCCGAGGCGGCTCGAGCGGCGGAGCCCGGACCGAGCCGTCGCGCCGGCGCAGCACGCCTCCTAAACAGTAGCACCAGGGAGTGGATTGAGCGCGAGTCGCCGACCACGCCGGGGCAGCGGCTCTAAATGGACAATAACATCTGACGATGTGGCACATCTAAATTGACATAAGAAAACGTCTGCCTGTGATCTGGTGCAGCTTCGCAAAGCATGACTAGGTTAGCTGTCCAGCCGCCATGTCATTGCTTTGAAATAAGTCAGGAAAAGAAAGACAAGTGCGGCTTTGGCAAGTGGGGTGAAAATATCTCGCGAGCCTTCACGTTAGGCGCCATGACTGTGTGACCCACTCGGACATCGATAGCCACATAACCACATAATATGACAACTTTACCGCTCGTGGCGCTGAAAACGTAGTGTACTTGCTTGGCACGGTTAAAGCGTCGTCCAACAACGAGGTAGAAGATGTGTTCAGCTCTTAGACGGTCGCGGGTCAGAGGTGTTTAATAAGACAATGTGCTGATTGCCCCATATCAGGAAGTTTTAGCGTGATGCTTTCATAGTACACCGCTTGTAGTGATGACAGAAACTTTTCCAGGCAAGCTTATTTTGAATTTCTCTACAATGACAACGAAAATTTACGAAGCTTGCAAACAAGAAGTGCTGTAAGCATCAGCAATCCACCAAGGCAAATTGCTTAATTGTCATTATAAATGTTGTTGTTGTCGTTAGCGTCGGTTTATAAAGATGTTTGTCACAGTCGGATGACATCTGGATCAGGTGGAATGCGTGGGATTGCCTCTGTCAAAGCCGCACAACTCGAACGAATCTTTTTATTCACGTACCGCAAGGCAAGAAACGAAAATCATCGTGACGAAAACCTAAATGTACACAAATAGGCACCCGTTGTAACCCCGTTATTGGTATGTCGCAGGCTTATATGCCGGAGCGGCATTGTTGTACGCAGACTTGTGGACAGGCTTGTAGGCCGGAGCGGCAGCCTTATAGGCAGGTGCAGAAACCTTGTAGGCAGGGGCGGGGTGGTACTCGGGGTACTGGGCCTCTCCCTCGTAGGTGACATCAGCGTTGTAGCCGCCGTAGTTGTCGGCGACGTACTTGACGTGCTGGACACGGCCGTCGGGCAATGCCACCGAGTAATATCCTTGGGTGTTGTGGCCATCGCTCTCCTCCTTCTTGGCGAAGTTGGTGCCGGTATAGTGGTCACTGACGGCGTAGTCGTAGGCGAACGGCTCGGCCTCCTCCTCGTACTGGGGCCCCGGGTGGTAAGAGGCCGGCTTGTAGGAGGGGGCCGGGTGGTAGGGGGCCGGAGCGGGCTTGTAGCCCGGCGTCTCCGGGGCCGGGGCGGCGGCGGCGACAGCCAGCACGGCTGGCAATGACGAAGCCCTGCAATGCAGTGGAGGATATATGACCGGATCAGAGCGGTCATTTTAATGACACAGTTTTGCTACGATATATCTCATAACCTCACCCTCCGTGCAATGCATGTCACGTCGCTAAGTCCAGAGTGTACATGGCTTGGAATAAACTCTATAGCAACCAGCAGGCATCATATCAATGGTATTATTCCAGTACAAACCTGCATGTTGTGTTCCGACAGGTGTGTGTACAGTGCAAGTGGTGTCTGCTCCCTTGGTGCTTTCGCTTTTATAGGTCGGCCGCTAACCACTGATAGACGGTCACGGTCAGATTCCAGTGAACGGACGCCTCCAACGGCGTCACCGGCTGTGCTGACGAATTCGCACGGAATTCCTGGTACACGCCCACCTCTAAGGTGGGCGTGTGTGACGCCCACCTTTAAGGTGGGCGTCACACCATAATGTGACGCATGATGTATATTGGCAGATCGTTTAATTTTTGCGGGTGAGTTAGAAGATATATGGCAAAGAAAGTACGTTTTATGACGCAGCAGGTTCATGTCGGCCTTTTTTGGCAATACTCTGAACCCTAAGCAATCATGCCAACAACCCAGAACTATCTGTATGAGCGATTTGCTCTTCTCTCCTATCCCCAACTCGCAGCTGTTCTGATTTCGATCCAGTGACGTTTTGGTCTCATCGTATCGTAACCCATCGCTTCATATTTGGTCGTTTGTCATCTCAAAGTAGTTATAAAGTGGGTTAAGTTTATGCAGAAATCAGAATTTGCGAGTATAGGTATGGTATGAGGGTAGGAGAATGGATATCTGTGATCAGTCATGTCATTAAGATGTCCTCCTACAGAGCATTTCTAACAGAAGCGCAGACGGGAACGGAAACTGGCCGTCCAAGCAGCTGCGTGCTTATGTATTGTTGGTTTCGAACTGTTTTCAGGAGCTAGTTAAGCTTTCAGTTGACTTTTACAGACATGCACCGTTTCGTGTTCAAAACGTATGGATGCCACACTTATCGGCATACGTCATTTTCAACTGCAGATTATGCTCCCAATTACATAACTAGACTTTAGATGGCAATATTCTGATGTGATGTAAGCGAAATCTTAGTTCTACCCAGGAATTCTAATTAAAAGCCTTCTTAGCTCAGTCATTCTGTGGTGTTCAAGTGTTTGACACGAAGATAAGCCAGCTGTCTAATAAAATGGAAATCAAATTTAAACGCAACTTAATTGTTTTGAAGCAGCAGACATATTATCATGAGAAAACTACGTCAAATTTCAAAAGCTTCCTACATTAATTAACGTTATAACATGAGTTGAAAGGTGGCGTAGCAAAATAAGTTCCTAGGATGCATCAAAAAGTGATGTCATTACCGTCTCTGAAAACTTCAGGAACTGTGCGAAGAAGTTGGTAAGGAAGCGTCAAAAAGCGCTGACGGAAATGTTTACTGGAAAAGATGGAAGCAAGATGAGGAGAAATGTAACTTACTTGTACCATATCTACATCGGAACGATGCGTAACAAGAGAAGTAAAACCGTGCGATAACTCTCACTCCATCTTCGTTTAACGTCAGCGTGAAGTCACTGGTGACCTAGTCTCCGCACGTCATGTTGAGGGACAAACGGAAACCAGAAACATACGTGCGGATAGTGAAAAGACCAGTTGAGAATGTGCATATGACCAGCAAGCCAGCATGGTAGAATTTTGTGGGGAATATGATGACAGGATTTGCAAGCCTATGTGTCAATCTATTAAAATGCAATGGCACAAAAAGTTGAGGCATAAACACAAGTCGTTTCCCTTTGTGGTGGCAGGAACACCGGGCTACCTTCATGCCTATAACGAATCAACGAAGTGGCAGACGTGTGCGACTAACGAATCAATTGCGTGGAATTCATCGACAAATTTCATGAAGTACGTGACAACCTTGAACGGCAAGCTATTACAATGCACTTCGAATCGACATGGCCTCGAGCCCTGTGGATGGGATGCCGTTGGTGATGTCAGGGATTAGCGAGCGTGCCGGGTCTGTGGTCTACTGTATTTCTTGTTGTCTATGCTAAATGCACCATACACCTTGTCGGCAAGAGCGTTGCATTATGGAAGAGACTCCATATGCTTTTTGTATGCATAAACTCGCGGTGTTTTTACCAGATAGGTGTCGGTCTATGCAGGACACGTTTTGACTTGCACGTAGCTAGATAAGGTGGATGATATTTTGTATTGGTAGTTTACCTGTCTACCTGCCTTAACCTGTAACGTTCACTGAGACATAGGTGTTGATGCACCATCTGCCTGAATTTGGCTCTTATGATGAACGTATGACGTCATGAGGCGACTGGCAAACAGCCAGATTGCGCTGCCGTTTGCATGTCTCGATCACGAGCCGTGTATTGCGATTAATTCCATAGGGATTTAGGTATCTTACGGCAATGACGGACATGACGCTGATAACCAAATAACTGGAGAATTGAACCGCAACCGAAAATGCAAATGCAAGTGAAACACATGCCACCACTAAAAAAAAAATATACAAGGACAACGCCAGAAGAGGCCAAGACGCACACAGCTGATGCTTGCACTCAAATGTCCTGGCCTAATCAAACGACGCCATCGTTACGGCACGCAGAAGTACACAAGTAAGTTACTAGTGCACAAGAAGTACACAAGTGATTCACTTTTCCCTTTAGTGGCACACCTATACCAAGGCAACTGTGGTGAAGGCTCTAATGACGTAAAAACGGTCCATGACATAATCAAGGGATGACGCATAAAGGAGCATACTTACTAAATGATGAAATTGTGCTATTTACAGCAGTCTTTTGCCCTTCGACGCATAACAACACTTACAAGTGAGCTTAACTATCATAACTGTTGCCCACCTCAATATCTTCAGATGTACAACAGCCCTTTTAAGGGGCACAAAGTTGCATGGCAGGAGTGGTGCGTGTATGAGGTAGCGACTACGGGTCCATGCTAGCCCATGGGGACACCAGCACGGCCGATAGCAACACGTGGGGGGCAGTCTGTTCAGTGAGGTAATGACCGTGGCCTTCCATCAATGGTTGGCGGCCGGCCTATAAAAGCGAATGTACCGCAGTAGCAGGCACCAGTTGCATTGCACACTCGGCCATCGAAAGACAGCATGCAGGCATGTGCTTGAACAATATGGTTGATGTAGCCATTTGTCCCGTGCTAGACATTATTCCATCAAATATATCCTGGTCCGAAAATGGTAAAGATGGTGGAATCAAAGACTCATTGCAAACATATAGTCTATGGCATTGCAGGTTCTCGCCGTTGCCGCCGTGCTGGCTGTTGCAGCCGCCGCCCCAGCTCCGGGGGCACCGCTGTACAACCCTGCAACAGCCTACAAGCCGGCCTCTTATCACCCGGAGCCCCAGTACACGCAGGGGGCTAAGCCTTTCTCCTATGACTACGCCGTCAACGACCACTACACCGGCACCAACTTCGCCAAGACGGAGGAGAGCGATGGCCACAACACCCAGGGATATTACTCGGTGGCTCTGCCCGACGGCCGTGTTCAGCACGTCAGGTACGTCGCTGACAACTACGGCGGCTACAACGCTGAGGTCTCCTACGAGGGAGAAGCCCAGTACCCCCAGTACCACCCTGCTCCTGCCTACAAGGCTGTTGCTCCGGTTCACAAGCCTATCTTCAATTCTGCTTACAGCTCTTCCGCGCCGTCATACGAGCCTCCGGCATATTAGTCAAATACTGAGAACGACCGCCTATTTAAGTGTATGCACGTTTTTTATGGTGCCTTCTGAATGGCTGTATTTCAATACAATGTGCTGCTCAGACTTTCTTGTTGTTTTTGAGGGCAAGCAGTTATTCTCGTTGCGGTAGATGTATAGCTACATGTGTTTGAGCGTAGCGTTGTCCCTGCACGATCTGCAGAGTTCCACACCCACTTTATTGCAGCAAGTGGTGATGTCTTGCTGTTTCACCACGAAAGCCCATCGTCCCGAGAACCCCTCCTCCATCGCTTACAAGGCTGCTGCTCCGGATCACAAGACTGTCCAGAAGTCTGTTTACAGTTTTCCCGTTTTTGCACAGAAGCCTGTGGAAAGCTGTGGAGGCCTCAAGAATACTGAGAACATCCTGCCATTCAAGAGCAGGAGTGCTAAGCTGTAATATTATTGCGACCCGAGCTGTTTTATGTTAACTTAAAAACCTGCTCGGACTATGGGATTTTAACACAAGCAACCATTCCTTTTCCAGTGTGGGAATTTTAGTGACACGACTGCGACAACCTACCTGAATGTTTTACAAAGCTAATGACAATCATCCGGCATGTGGTAGTGTTTAAGCAACAACGGCCTTCATGAAAGACTGGTGAAAGCGTAAAAGCAAACACTGCTGTGTAAGAGCTCGCCAATCCGTCACAGGTGTTGTCCACAGGCTAGTTTCGTTGGGCCAGGCATCTGGTAGCTGTGACACTTCTCGTCCCCAGCCAGCAGAGCGATGGTTTGTGTAATAATCCTGAGCCTTAGCCCAAAAACCAGCCCAGGGATAGTTTCGAGCGGCGCGACGTGGCCGCGCCAAATTTTGCATAGGTGTATACAACTGAATGGCAAATCGTCTATTATTAGACATTTAAATGCACCTTGTAAGTTCACTGATCTACTACAGGTCAAAATCAGGCCATGGATTCAGCGAAGTCAATTTCTAGGAAATTATTCACTCTAATGAGACAGCGGAGATTTAGGCGAAGCCGTGAATCTGTGAGGTGGTTTCTTAGGCAGCATAATAATTGAATGGGCAAATTCCATTTACCTGGGGTCAGGTATGAAGGTCAGACCGAGGTCAAACCAAGCCTGTTTCATTACTCTAGGGATGGTGTGTGAGGTACGTTCTGGTGCTCATTACGAAATTATCAATAACAAGAGCCGCATTGTTCGCCTTCCATGAACTTCTTAAAGGTCATAATAGGTCACTGATCTGAAATAACCCAGATCAACATTTTGTTATTGGGGATATACTGCTCAGCGCAATCTTTGTCGCATATCTAAATGCAAAACACAAAGCAGTCTTACATGATTTGGGTCACCATCACCTTAAAAACGTTAAACCAGCTCGTTGACCTTAAAGGAGAATGTTACCTTTGCTTACAGCAGGCATCTAGGTTCTCGGGGCCCCTTGGAGACTTACCTAGAGTTCGACCTTGTTTGATCTTATTTAACCCGGAGCTCATAATCTAGAAACTCAAAATTTTAGCTCTCTTAGTTCCTCAGATCCCAGCGGGAACAAAGGGACCTCCACCTGAGCGACTCGTATCCAACCGGCCACCCGAGCAGATGTTAACGTTGCAAACCTGGTTATTAAAACAGCATTGGTTTTTGCGTCCTGTTGACGTAAAAACTAAAAAATCTGCAACCATCCTTATGAATTTACGGTCATGAATCTATCACTTGGACTTATGGTCATGATTTTTTCTGTTGATGGGTTTGCAACGTGTCCATGGTGGACATTGATTTGGAATTGGGCTATATATATATATATATATATATATATATATATATATATATATATATATATCTCTCTCTCTCTCTCTCTCTCTCTCTCTCTCTCCCTCTCTCTCCTCTCTCTCTCCTCTCTTCTCCTCTCTCTCTGCTCTCTCTCTCTCTCTCTCTCTCTCTCTCTCTCTCTCTCCTCTCTCTCTCTCTCCTCTCTCTCTCTCTCTATCTCTCTCTCTCTCTCTCTCTCTCTCCTCCTCTCTCTCTCTCTCTCTCTCTCTCTCTCTCTCTCTCTCTCTCTCCTTTCTCTCTCTCTCTCTCTCTCTCTCTCTCTCTCTCTCTTCTCTCTCCTCTCTCTCTCTCTCTCTCTCTCTCTCTCTCTCTCCTCTCTCTCTCTCCTCTCTCTCCTCTCTTCTCTCTCTCATCTCTCTCTCTCTCTATCTCTCTCTCTCCTCTCTCTCTCTCTCTCCTCTCTCTCTCCTCTCTCTCTCTCTCTCTCTCTCTTCTCTCTCTCTCTCTCTCTCTCTCTCCTCTCTCTCTCTCTCCTCTCTCTCTTCTCTCTCTCTCTCTCTCTCTCTCTCCTCTCTCTCTCTCTCTCTCTCTCTCTCTCTCTCTCCTCTCTCTCTCTCTCTCTCTCTCTCTCTCTCTCTCTCTCTCTCTCTCTCTCTCTCTCTCTCTCTCTCTCTCTCTCTCTCTCTCTCTCTCTCTCTCTCTCTCTCTCTATATATATATATATATATATATATATATATATATATATATATATATATATATATATATATATATGAACGGGCTATAAGCCGACTCGTTCACCGCAAATTAACAGCAAACGCTTCCCTTGCCATACGTCGCAAATCACCTACAATGCTGTGTTGGTAAGCAGAACTACTTTGCTGTACGACGTGCCAATATTAACCCTGGCTGTCCAGCCGTCATGTCAAGGGATGGATTGCTTTAATACGCGCCCGGGTGGCCGATTTGATACGCTTCACTCGGGTGGAGGCTAGATATGACCCTCTAAGAGCTCAGCAATTAAGAGAGATAGAGACACCAAAGTAACAGGGTGTGTTGGTATGG